GGTGGAACAGCAGGGGCTTGGACATGTGGCAGAGACAGGGGCGTTGCCAACTTCAAGAGGGTTCGAAATAGACGTCGCCGTACCAGCCGAGCCGGAAAGGGAGGGGAATAAAGAAGGGGTGGATGAGGAAGAAGAAGAAGACGAACAGGAGGAAGACGAAGACGACGACGACGACGAGGAAATACAAGATGGAGGAGTTGTCAAGTGGGCTAGAGTAGAGGAAGTGGGAAAGACGCCTCGTAGTGAAGCCGGCGGTAAGGCGTAGTGCAGAGGGAGGCCGGCATCTTGGAGGCTGGAAGGAAAGGTGTTGGAGCCGCTGGACGCGGAGTGCTGACGCCGAGGGCTAGAATGCCCATTGAGGGTGGGAGAGGCGGGAGGGGCCTGTTTACAGGAGCCTGCATTCGGTGGAGACGTAGGACTTTTCTGGCTGACGACATCTGTTGCCCGGAGAGAAGGAACTTTAGACTGTGGCAAGTTGGCACAGTTTTCGGGCTGGGATTTATGCTTTTGGTCGTGATATTGTTGTTGTTGTTGTTGTTGATGTTGTTGTTGCTGATTATGGTGATGGTAGGAGGCAAAGGCGGCAGCCGCAGCCATCGCCAGGGACGGAGAGGCTGCCAAATACGAGGAGGAGGAAGAGGTGGTTTCGGAGCCGGAGGCAGCCGGATCATGAACATTCGGCTTGGTGGGTGGGAAGGACAGGGAAGTACGTTCTCTTGACATGCCGGCAAGAAAGGAAGAGAGACCCGAAGTAAAGCAACTCGACCAGTGAGCGGCGTTTGTGAAGAGGCTGCAGTGACCACTCAGAAAGCCGGCCATTGAAGCATTGGTTGTGTTGGTACAGTTGGCATTTGTGCTGGTGTTGGTGATGACGTTGGCTATTGAACTGGAAGGATTGGCTTGGGGACATTTGTTGCAAGAGAGTGAAGGTGAATTGGTGAAATCGTGGTCAGCATGAGCAGAGCTGGCTGGCTCTCTGGGTGGGGAGGACTGGGGTAATGTGAGACCGCGGGAAGGTGGTGCAAGACTTGGGGGACTTTTCTGTTTTGCGATGCCCAAAAAGGATTTAAGGGATGGGGGACATGTGGCCGTGGTGTCACTGCTGGCAAGGAGGTTTGGTGACCCTATGCCGGGTTGTCTGAGGGCTGTGCGCTCAGCCAAAGGCGATGGTACCAATGGGTTTGCCATTGATGCTGGCAGTGGTAGTGAGAGCGATAGTGGCAACGGCAGTGGGATTGGCATGTTGGCCAGACTGGATTGTGACAGATCTGTCCGGCCTGACGTGAAAGCCCGAGAAACAGTTGTTGCTGGCCATTCAGCCAGTTCGACCTGGCTCTGCAAGCCTTCTTTGTCGGTATAGGCCAAACTGTTGTGCAACAACCGGCTGGACGAGTAGGCCGTGGAGGCGTTGACGAACCTGGTACTTGTTGATCGTCCGTTGGGAGGCCTGGAGTTGTGGTAGGTCTCCGGGCCAACTTCAACATCGGCACCTTCTTCCAAACGCGCTGTCGGCATCTCGTCTGGACGGGAAGCAATGTCTTCATTGTTCACGCCTGGAATGCCCATGTCTTCGGACGGCGAAGAGGATGAGGTCGAAGAAGACGAAGAGGGAGGACCTGTGGAGCAGGAGGAGAAGCAGGAGGAGAGGATCGACGCCGTGTTACCGGAGCTGGCTGTGAGGTTGGTGAGGCTAGTTGGAGTGGAAAGAGAGAGAGCATAGGCGGCCATTCGTTCTGCAACTGTCATACCATCAGCGGATCTCTGTCGATGAGCCGGCATCATACTTGTTGGTGACCGCGAGTTGTTCGGTTGAGAGGAGACTGTATCTGGCAGGCCAAGATCGGGTGCAAAGCAGAGACCAAGGCCAGCGCGAGACTTCTTCCAATGTCTGCCACCCGGACTTATGGCGTCCGGGACGAGCGCCATAGTGAGAGCGGCCAGCGGATCATCGTGAAGGCTGGTGAAATCTTTGGATGAGCTTTTTGGATCGGGGCAACAGTTGAGTGCATCTCGGATCTAATTTATATGATTGGAAGAGAGAATATATGGCACAAGCCGTGTAATTGAGGAGGAGGCGAAGCTTAAAATGTTGCATCTACCTTACTTTGATTCCTTGAAAAAAAACAATTCTGTCCCAATTCACAAAGATTAAGCTATAAGCTAAGTATGTTTGACTGTTGGTCAGCAAATTATGTTTCACG